TGTGTGTGTGTGTGTGTGTGTGTGTGTGTGTGTGTGTGTGTGTGTGTGTGTTGGCTCGTAGCAAATCAAAGTGACCATTAATGACGAGGACATGGATACGTTCGTGTTTGCTGTCGGTGCCAAGAGAGCCATGGCTCGGCTGCAGAAGGAGATGCAGGACTTGGTGAATATTTTTTTATATTATTACCTGAAATAGGTTTTTTGTACCTGGTTTATAGTGTGTATAAGTATACAGTATAGTGTGTGTGTGTGTAAGTGTTTCAAATCAGTCGATATTCATAAAAATTAATTAGTTTTTAGTTTTACCTATTTTAAATGATTCAGATTCTCTTTATTGTCAATCAAACATATCAGAGATGCACTGTAGAATGAAATTACGATGCGCATTAGCACACGACATAAACAGCTTTATAAACTATAAAGTAGTAAGGATCAGGAGAAGAAAGCTGATTAATCCTGCCAAACTGCCGACCTTTTCTCTTTTATCCACAATTTCCTCTCGAGTCACTGCATCATTTTCTTCTTTCCCTCCTGGTTGTTCCTTCTTATTTTGATTGTGGTTCTGATTGTGGTGCAACATGAACCTGCTGCTGCTCGTGTTACTCAGCTGGTTGTTGCCACCGTACCAAAGACTGAGTGAGCTGGTGCTGCTGGGCGTGTTTCAAGGCTTTAGCCGCTGGGTTGCAATTTTACAGCTTCAGTAGCTGTTGTATCGTATCGTCGCACAATCTCTGATCCTGGTCCTTTTGTAGTTTTTATTTCCCGTGTAAATTTTGTAAACTTCTTCAAGCTTCTGTGAGTGAAATTCTCAACGTTCTGTTGGACGTCTGTCACAATAAATCATTGTTGTTTTATCAGCCAGACCTTGTTGTTACTCAGTATTTAATATTTTGGGGGTTTATTTATTTATTTTTGTCAGAGTGAGTTCTGCAACGACAAGCCGAAGTCCGGGGCCAAGTTTGGTCTTCCAGACTCCATGGCGATCCTGAGTGAGATGGGCGAGGTGACGGATGGTGTGATGGACAACAAGGTGAAGCTTTGTGTTTCTGAACAAACGGGAACACGGCTCCATGTCTGCTCTTTAAACGCAGCTCCATCATTTGAACTTGTGCTCTTATTTCTGTTTTTAGATGGTTCATTACATCACCACCTATGCCGACAAGATTGAGTCGATTCATTTCTCGGACCAATTTTCTGGTCCAAAAGTTATGCAAGAGTACGTTGTTTTTGTTTTTGTTTTTGTTTTCATTTTTCTAATAATCCCTGATCTTTATATGATGTTTTTTTCTTGCTCTTCAGAGATGGTCAGCCTCTGAAGCTGCCTGAAACCAAGAAGACACTGCTGTTTACATTCAATGGTGAGCTTTTCCTGTCCCAATCACTGTAAATCTGATTAATTAGATTATATTTGTGTGTAATTTGTGCTGAATTGTGTTTCTAGTGCCTGGCATGGGCAACACGTCTCCCAAAGACATGGAGTCTCTGCTTCCTCTCATGAACATGGTGATCTACAGCATCGATAAAGTCAAGAAGCTGCGTCTCAACAGAGAGGCGAGTTCTGCAGGCTGTGTGGCCCCGGAGCTAGTTTTATTTAATTAAATTATTATTATTTTTTTTACTAAATCCTCTTTGGACTTTCAGGGCAAGCTGAAAGCTGACAAAAATCGAGCTCGCGTGGAGGAGAACTTTCTGAAGCAGACCCACGCTCAGCGTCAGGAAGCGGCGCAGACACGGAGAGAAGAGAAGAAGAGAGCTGAGAAGGAGAGGATCATGAATGAGGAGGACCCTGACAGACAGCGACGTCTGGAGGTCTGAAAAATAACTCTGGCTGTGATTACACAAACTGTCCCTGAAACACAATAAACATATTAAATGTGTTCATTAATGCTGACAGTGAATTGTTAAACAAAAGCTAAAATGAGCAACACAGTAACTACATTAATAACTAGAGAAATTGCATTTCCTGCAAAAATGCTAGTGTGAATGCTTCTTGCTGAAAACTGCTGAAAGTATTTAATAGTAAAAGTGTTAAAGTGAGCTCACTTTGAAAAGCTGAAAGCAAAAAAAAAGCCCAACTTTGCTGAAAAACAGTAAAAAGGAGCAGAAATCTAGTTGAAAACAGAAAACAGCTAAAATCTAAAACAGCTGAATATAGCTGAAAACCTCTGTAAGAAGCATAAATAGCACAAAAAATAGGAACAAGCTGAAGAATACTAGAAAGAAGCAGAACTATACCCGCAATTGAAGAAAAAAAAAAGCTAAAATTAGCATAAATAAGCTAAAGGTAGCAGACACAAGTTGAAAGTAGCACCCAGATAGTGAAAGTGCTATAAAAGGTTTAAAAATTGCAGAAAAAGGCATAAAAGTACTAAAAAGTGACAATGTTTACTAAAAAAAAACCAGCTAAAATGTAGCTGGAATTTTTTTTAATTAGCATGAAGAAGCATAAGGAGCACGAGTTTGCTGAACTTAGCAGAAATAAGTTGTAATAGCTGCAAAAACTATTGAGCTTAAAACAGCTAACTTTAGCTAATAACAGCTGAACTTCAGCTAAAATTGCAGAAAACAGCTGAATGTAAAAAAAAGCTCCTGTAAGAAGCATAAATAGCACAAAGTAGCAGAAAAAAGCAGAAGAATAGCAGGAAGAAGCAGACTTTTAGCTGAAATAGCAGAAAAAAGCTAAAAATTAGCAAAAAATGTAGCTGAAATTAGCACAAGAGAGTGAAAAACAGCAGAACCAGAACAAAATGTGTAAGGTTCTGTAAAGATTTAGAAACATTTTGAAGGATTTTAATGATGATGAAAATGGCCCCATTCATTTTCAATGGGGAAAAAAGTGGCTGAAAAAGCATAAATAGCTGAAATACCAAAAGTCATAGCACCATTAGCACAAACAATATGAACGTTTTGATGTATGAATTGTTGAAATAGCACAAAAATTATTATGAATTAGATGGTGAAAAACGTACGGAAGAAAAAATAATAGTGTAAATCTTATTTTTGTTTCCCATTTGTTTCAGGAAGCAGCTCAGCGGCGGGAACAGAAGAAGATCGAGAAGAAACAGATGAAGATGAAGCAGATCAAAGTGAAAGCCATGTGAAGATCACTACGAAAAAAGAGAAAAAAGGCAAACAACGCAGAGAAACAACGCTCAATTCAGTTTTTTTCTGCTCGTTTTTCCGTCACAGTCCATAATCTGCCTCACAGCTTCAAACGGTGTCACCACCTGCTTCACTCACTGCGGCTCAACGTGAACAACTGGTGTCAGAGTCAAATGAATGTCCTCTAACTGTCCAACCTGTCACCAATAAAACACCTGGACTTTTACTTCAGCGCTTCTTTAAAGTCTGTCGCAAAGACGTTACATCTTTTTAAATGTAATCTGCTGATAAAGAATACACTATTAGGTGGTTTTGTTCCACTTTTTTGTAAGAACTGAACATATTTCTGTCATTTTAATTGGAAATATATTAGCATTATTGTAATCTTTAAACTGTAACGTCAAATAAATTTTAATATATATATTTGTGTGAAAAGAAATTGGTATCTTTCAGGCTGTCAATAAAAGCACTAAACTGTCCTTCATGGTTTATTGTAGTTAAAATTAGTAAAAATGTGCTCTGGTTGTCAAAGATTTTCGTAGAAATGAATCCAGAGTTTGTGGTTGAAGGTTTCAGTTTCAGAGACGAAGGGGACGAAGGCCTCCTGCTAATTTTAACTGGTGTCAGTGGTTTCTGAACTGGTAGGGTTACATCTCTGTGGTTTCTGATCATGCTGTAACACATCCAGTGCTTCTGTCTGGCCTGAAACTTTTACAGCAATAATTAATGATTGGGAAAACTTGAAAAACGTTTATTCCAGGAGTCTGCGGCCTTTATAATGCAAAAATAAATAAATAAACATTCATTTATCTCATGGTAATTTAAGATCTTCAAGCTGTGTTTGAAAAAAGATTACTCTATTAGCTATAATAGGAAAATATATTATGAAATTAAAGGTCTGAAATGTGTAAAAATGTTCATTTTTACGATGGACTTCAGATAAGGACGAGGTGATTAATGAGACTAAGGATTACTAGAGCAAACAGCTGTTTTACTTGTATTAAAATATGACTTGAACTTTCTATTCACACTTTGCATAAAATTAGATAAAAAAATTAATAAAATTAACCTTTTGTGTTGTGGTTATAAACGTAAACTTCATTTTCATGATCAAAGCCTGGTTTAGTACATTGATTTACTGAAATGTAACATTTACATTACCAAAATTTGCTAAATATTTTTAAAAATTGTTCAACAAAAACTAAAGTCTGGTCTTAATTATTTAACACAGCTGTGTTGAACTGAGTTACATTTTCTGATGTTGGAAGGGTGAAGATGATAGATTTTGGTGAGGGTTCAGTCACATTTTATTTTAATGAAGGGAGGATTCATTTCAGGGTATTTCTAACGGGCTTTATTAAACAGATGTGTCAAGTCTATCTTAATCCTGACTTTATTTTGTAATGTGATATTAAGAAATATTAACAGTGCTGTCTACAACAATTTATTTTGAATATCAGTCACAGCGATTACATCATAAAATATTATAGATTAAAATGTGTTTTAAACGTTTACATTGTTATCAGACTTCAATGTGGAGAAAACGTATTTTTACCAGGAAAAAAAGTCATTTTTTTTAAAATTCAAAATAAAATTTGAAATAAAACTGAGTAAATTGCTAAATAATGTGCTGGCACCACCTGTAGGGGGCGCTCTAGTATATTTTTACAGGGAGGTGCTGCATTTTGAAAACTTGTATTAACACAAGCAGATTCAAGCATTTTAAGTACAAATATCTGACGTTTTATTATATACAGTAATTCATTTTATGAATGTAATTTGTTTGTTTTATTAAATTTTGATGTTGAGTAATAAATTCAATGGCTTCAATAATTTATTTATTAGGTCTTCGTTCGGATGAAAGTGCCGGGGAGAAACCGTCGCTTGTGTTAGAATACACTGATGGAGATCAGGCGAGGCTCTCAGGTTGGTTACGCGATGGCCGCTCTCTCAACAATATCTGGATTTTAAAGAGAAAACAATGACTTCGTCGCTTGAAGAGGCTCGTTGCTGTCTCGACTAACTATCAAAATGGTAGCAGCATCGTTTTAGCTCGCCAGTTTTCCTTTAGTTCTGGGTCGCGGCGCTTTGTTTCTGTTGGTTGACCCAGTGTTTTTCTTGATCGTCGCGCGGGCCTGGCTGTAGCTGCCTACACTGTAGCGGCGGGCTGCTGCTTTCGGCTGAGCGCGTAGTGGGATCTTCAAGAGGTGGGGGGTTAATTATGGTCAACCGAAGACCAAATATCAAAGTACCGTATCCGAAAGATGCGCGTAACATAGATGATAGCGGCAAATGCGGTGCGTGCGGGTGGAAGGTCAGCGAGATCAGAATGTAAACTAACTTGATGTTGCTAGTTAGCATTAGCCCAGCGGTAGCGTCAACTTGCTAAAACGAGAAGATAAGTAATTTTATATCTGGTACCGTCATACTAGGCAATAAGGACTTACAACGCTGGTTTTGGGAAACCTTTTCCAAACGCGAATAAGCTGCATTTGATATATATGTCGTTCTTGGCGCGAACAACCGCAGTTTATTTATATTTTGTAGATGCATTTAGCTTCGGCTAGCAGCAGGTTGCTAGCTGAACGGTTTGATCAGTGAGTGACGTAACGGCAGTCATTGTTTTGACAGCGGGCAGCCGCTTAACCGAGGTTGACAATTTATTAATAAAAGGTTAAGGTCATTGTTTCTCAGCTTTCGAAATGTATCATCACATCAGAGTATGTTAAAAAGATAATTCGCTGCCTAATGATGTGACGCAGCTTATCTTTTCGTTACGTTTCCATGCTGGGTGCCCCACTGCCTGCGTCCAGGATGGCTTGATCTGTAAATATTAACATAATGCGTCACATCTGTCATGTCGCTTCTACTTCCCACTGATTTCAGAAACCACTGTAGTAGTTGTATTAGTCTGTAATGATCTTTGTAGCTCTGTGTTAACTAGTTTCTGCATTGCTGATTATAATTGTTTGTTGTTTTAGTTGTAGGATGGATCCAGACAGTGGGACAGAAACACAAAAAGCCGTCAGTTTGCAGTGGAAAAGCTACAAACTTGTCCAGGACCCAGCCATTAGGAGAGTTACGCAGAAAATTTACAGATACGATGGAGTGCATTTCAGTGTGCCAGTGAGTTCAGTTTTTATCTTTTTTTTTCTCTTTATAATGTACATATTCCCTCAGCACGTGTTTTTGACTTGCAACCTGTGTTTTTTATTTATTCCAGGACTCTGGATTTCCTCCTGTTGGAGAACTCAGAGATCCTAGACCCCGAAGACTATGGTCCAGGTATGCTGACCTGTCCCTACCAGTGCCAAAATTTAAGGTGAGCATATCAGGGTCACTATTTATTCTAGTAATTGCTTTTAAGAGCTGATTTTTTTTTTTATCTTTAGCATTTGGATCAGGGACAAGCACATTATTAATTCAAACTTCCACTGCTTCCATTTTAAGTACCCAGTCACACTATGACAGTGGTTCTTAACCTGGGTTCGATCGAACCCTAGGGGTTCGATGAGCCGGTCTCAGGGGTTCGGCAGAGCCTCAGCCATGGAAGTAAAGACACACTTGTGAAAAGTTGTGATGACATGCCCCACTTGGCCATCACTTGCTGCAGAGGATCACGTGGGATTGCTTGACCAATCAGTGTTGGCCCCAAAAAAGTATTTTGTGGATTCAAAACAACAAAAAACAAATTAAGTTTAAAATAAAAAATCTTATTCAAAATGTTAAATTCTTCAAAAAAAAGCCTAATTTATTTTTTATTAGTAAAATAGTAAAAAAATATATATATTTTGGGGGGGCTGAAATTTTTTATGGATCAAAATATTTTTTGGGGGGCCAGAATAAAGTCATACTGTAATTTGTTGTGAGTTCATGCACTGTGTTGGTTTTGTTCTTTGAGCAAGGTGATGTTCATGCACGGCTTATTTTATACACCAGTAAAAAAACATATACCTTTGTTTTGAATTTGGAAAAAAAAATCATTTTATTTATCAATAAAAAGGGTTCAGTGAATGCACATACGAAACTCGTGGGTTCGGTACCTCAAAAAAGTTTAAGAACCACTGCACTATGATGTTTTAGATGACTTATTCTGACTTGTGAAAATTTCTTATGACTATTTTATTCATATTTGCTATATATTTGATCTAATGTGTGACAGGTCCTTAAGGAGGAAGTGTGCAGTCTTTTTACTTGAAACATATTTTGGCAGAACATCAGTTACATTAAGTGTGACCAATGAATTTCCCATTATAACAAACACTGTATGACTCCAGTTATTTACTTGGCTCCCAGAACCACGATAGTTTTGTGAAAGTTATCTCAAAAAAAGGAGAAAAGTAAAGTTGAAAGCCTTTTTAATTTTTGTGTTATTGGCTTGAAAAGATGTTTCTGTGAAGCTGATACAGTTACTCTCATGATTCACAAACACCAAACAGAAGTGGCTCAGCTTTTTTTTTTTTTTGGATTGACTACAGCTTTTTATCTGACCTTGGCGTTTTATCCTTTCCACAGCTTGATGAATTCTATGTGGGTCCCATACCCCTCAAAGAGGTAACCTTCGCTAGACTCAATGACAACATCAAGGAGCCCTTCTTGGCAGAAATGTGTGCCAAGTTTGGTGAAGTGGAGGAAATGGAAATCTTGTTTCATCCCAAAACCAGAAAGCACTTGGGTCTGGCCAGGGTGTTATTCACCAGCACCAGAGGAGCAAAGGACACAGTCAAGCAGCTGCACAATACCTCTGTCATGGGTAACATCATTCACGCCCAGCTGGACATAAAAGGTAAACTAAAACTTTAAAACATCTTTCATCTAAAATGTAATTAGAACAAGTTGCTACATTTGTGTTTCAAATACTTTTAACAGGCGTGCAAACAAAATTGTAATTGTTGAGAAACACAAATATATGGTGCTTGTACTTTCAAGCTGTAGTTTGCAGAAATTGTGAGGGAAATAACGTTATGTAGGGCAGGTGTGTTTACTGTAACCATGTATGCTTTGCAAATCATTTGTTTCTTGCCTTAAACTGCTTCTAAACCTAAACTAGAGTAATAAAGCATTTATCTTTGTTTTTTTCTTCCAGGTCAACAAAGGCAGAAGTACTACGACCTGATAGTCAATGGGTCCTACACTCCTCAGACGGTGCCTCTGGGAGGGAAGGCTTTGGCAGACAGGGTTCAGCCTCAGACTCCAACACAGCCCCAGCCTGACACAGTATGATGGCTGTTAAAATATCTGTTCGCAGTCAATTCAAGCTTATTTATTGATAAATATTTAAATGGTGTTGAGGTGTATTTTATGACTGTCTTGTTATTTAGCCTTTCACTGAATGGATGGGAACAATAAATTAACTATTAATTAAAGTCAGCCAACAAGAGAATGTGTTGAACAACTGATACTTGTTTATATTTCCAGCAGTATATTTATGTATAAAAATATTCTTTCTTCATAGCAGTCGGAAATCAGGCGGAGGCTTTCCAGTGAGCTTGCAGTTTTRGCAGCAGGAGTCCAGGCCCTTACGTCGGGGAGCATCACCCCATGTTCTGTTGACACCAGCTTTAGTGATCAGCGTATGGACACCCCTCCCTCCTCCATAGCTGGCCCATTCACCCCAAGCTCCTCCGTTTCATCACAAGGTGGAGGAACACCTTACAGCTCCAGATCTGGGACTCCTTTCTCACAAGACTCAGGATACACCAGCAACAGGTTAGTTATACTTGAAACAAAAAAAATGTTGTTGATATGTTGTTGAGATAAAGTTGTTTTTGTCTGATTTCACAAGATTAAAATACAGATGTTTAGATATTAAATATATTTAAAACAAGAAACTTAACTCACTTTGTTTCAGGGTTTGATAAGATTTTTTTTTACCTGTCCTGCAAAACAAAAATGTTCAATATTTGATAAAATATAAGAAACACATGTACCGTATTTGTACTGCAAAAATATTAACATGGTTACACAGAGGTACATAATATACAGTATGACATCTGATTAACCAGATGCAAACATTGCAGACTGAGTCACTCACAGTCAAATGTTTTATCAAAAACATCTTCAAATACTTTTTTAGACCTTTCCAGTGTTTCCCGTAGAGAATTGGCCTCGGGAAGGCTGCTTATAAAAACAGAATGATCAACAGCAGCAGCTTTGTTTTAAATATTATTTACATAACATGAAAAAGTCTGAAATTTGCATTAATTGAATCTTATATAGTCTGTCTCATATCTAAAGATACATTTAAGATGTCTTGAACTGGAGTCTCCATACTACTTAATGATAAATCTGACCTTATTTATACTAGTCAGAATATAATTAGAGATATCTTTAATAGGTATTTTGAATTGTCAAAGTATATTAAGAGATGTCTATTTATTAGTTTGTTTCTTTCATTCATAAAAACAAAACCATCTATGTACAACATTAAAAAAAAAACAAATTAAATCCTACCCTGAATTAAAAGGGTGCAGAGTGAAGAAAAAACTATCATATGGGCCTTTTATTTTCAAAAATTAACTTCAACAAACAAACAAGCTCAAGCTGGAAAGATCTCCAAATTAAAAAATAAGTAAATAAAACAAACGACAACAAAAATTCATTTTACTATTTTATCCTAAATAACTAATATGTCTAATCTAGTCATAAAACAATTTCAAATAACTGGAATGTAAGCGTGTTGAAGCCAAATAAATGTAATATCGGCCTGCCATACAGTGAGCCTGTTGAACTGATCACTGCTGCTCTCAGAGCAGAACTGTTATATTAGCAAGATGGATTTATGACTGAAAGAAATTCCACATCTTTTTATCATCTCTGTGGGTGACAATACTTAAAAAACATGTTTTTTTCTCTGACAACTTGGGTGAAAAAACGACAGTTGTTAAAGCTTYGCTCTGCGCGACGTGCAGCGAGAGGGAGGAGGAAATGATCCTGCGACATGACGTAACTTTTCTACTGGGGAGGGGGAAATGTTGAGGATTTATTCTCTCTATACGTGTTTTAAAACGCTAGAATTCTTCATTTATTTTCAGAATATTTTCAATAAATTTAGGGGAGTTATTATGATCTTGACAGATGATTCATTGAACCTCATCTCCTGTTGCAGGCACACTGGCTTCAACACAGGCTCTTTGGACAGTGGCTATCCTCCCCAAGACATGTTACCATCCTCCTCTTCATCTTCTGCAGTCTCCTCCTCTGTTGGAGGATACAAAGTATCCCGTTACCCCGAGGAGCCGGACCCATCAGTGTACCATCGATGCCGCCCGGGATACCCCGCTTCATACCGTCCCAATGAGCCGCCTTGTTATCCCCCCTACCCTAACCTTGGAGGGCCCGGGCCACATATAGCACATCACTCTGCCATGCCTCCCCCACATATTTCCAACCAGTTTGATCATCCGCTAATGTCCGACAGGGAAAGAGACCGTGAAAGAGACTCGGGGGGCAGGTATGGGCCAGGGGCGGTTGGTTCCAGGAGGTCTTCTTATCATCACCAGCAGGACACAAACTCTTCTTCAAAGTACCATTCCCATCACTCCCACCACCATTCAGACCACAGGGATGACCGAGGCTACCGGCGAGACAGTCTGGGTTCCCGGTCCAGCGAACACGGCCACCAGAGGCACCGGAACCACCACCAGTCTCACAATCACCACGGCGGCAGCAGTCGCAGAAGAAGCAGCCACGACCGAGACAGAGACCGAGACAGTGATTACTCCAACAGTTCTGATCCCAGATACAACTCCAACTCTTACCGCTCCTCCTCCAACAGCATGTCTCCTCCCCCATCGTCTTACTCCTCCTACTCCTCCAAAGAACCCGCCCCGACCCCTCCTCAGGGATTGGACATTGCCACGCGTTCGGGGGGCACAAGCCTTGCAGAGAGGGGCTCTGTGCCCCCATCGAGTTCTGACAAAGACTACCATGCCGATCATCACAGCGCTCTGCCCCCACCTCCCCCTCCACCGCCGCCACCACTCCCACCAGCCTCTGTCATCGCAGCGGCTGTAGCCGAGACCCTGGGAACACTGGACTTCAACCAGGACAGTCCTGCCCAGGACGACCAGTGGACTAAGCCCAAACGCCATCCCAGCACTCCGCCTGCCCCGCCCAAGACGCCCCCGCCTTCTTCTCCCATTCACCCCACCATCACTTCCTCCTCTAACTCTCCTTCCTCAGCCTCGCTTCCTCACCACCTTTCTTCCTCCTCCAACTCCCCACCGCCCCCTCACCGGGACTCCTCCCCGGAGCCCGATTCTACGAACGAGAGTTTACCGTTCGTCTACCACAGCAGCAGCCTGGACTCTCGCATCGAGATGCTCCTAAAGGAGCAAAAAGCTAAATTTTCTTTTCTGGCTTCTGATGAGGAAGACGAGGAAGACAGGAAGGAGGACAAGCAGAGAGGGAGAGGTGGGGATGAAGCAGACCGAAGAGGAGGGTCAGGTGATGCAACAGAAGAGCAGGAGCCCACGAGAGACGACGGGCCGAAGGACCACAGGAAGAAAGAGGAGAGAGAGCGAGACGACCGTAGAGGAAGGAAACGAGGGAAAGGAGGAGAGGGTAGAAAGAGTCCGACTGTGCTTGCAGCAGCCGTACAGCCCTCCTCCACCTTTTCTCCTCTCATCCTACCTCCAGAAGAGCCTCAGCCCCAGGTTAGCCTTGATGAGACGGGAACGTCACAGCAGGAGTCTTCTCAGACTGCTTCTGCTGATGCAGAGAGCAGGACAGGAGCCCACACACCGCCCTTTAATGGACAGAGTCAGGTAGGAGAAGTCTTACTCTTAACTGATGGTTAGTAGGGATGTAAAAATCTTTAATTGATTATTTTTGGCACTTGATGATTAATACGATTAATGTCACTGGAGATTTCACCGGTCAGTCCGCTCGGTGCTCCTCTATGCTTCAAATACAACAAACATTTATTAAAACGTTCTCTACTTTATTTATCATTACTCCGGTTTTACTTGCTCTATCAACACAATTTAAAAATTGTTGTACAGCCTCAAGTCTGGACTGTTGACAGAGTTTGGAACAGATTTTTACGAAGAGAAAATCTTTCCCACTAGAGTGATTTAAATTGGTTGTATAAGAAGGGCATGCAGGCGTTCAGGGACTCTAAGGCATTAATCGTCATTTTAAACATTATCGACTAAATATCACAATTCAGGGTTCAACAAAAATTTTTATTTTTACCTGCCCGAAACAAAAAATGTTCAAAATTTGATCAATTATAAGAAAAACGTGTTCTGTATTTGTCCTGCAAAAATATTAACATGGTTATACAGAGGTACATAAAATGACATCTGATTAAACAGATGCAAACATTTCAGACTGAGTCACTAACTGTCAGTCAATTGTTTTATCAAAAACATCTTCAATAAACATTTTTTAGACCTTTCCAGTGTTTCCCTTGGAGTACTGGCCTCGGGAGGGCTGCTTATAAAAACAGAATGATCAACAGCAGCAGCTTTGTTTTAAATATAATTTACAGAACTTGAAAGTCTGCGGTTTGCATTAATTGAATCTTATATAGTCTGTCTCATATCTAAAGATACATTTAAGATGTCTTGAACTGGAGTCTCCCTACAGCTTAATGATAAATCTGACCTTATTTATACTAGTCAGAATATAATTAGAGATATCTATAATAGGTATTTTGAATTGTCAAAATATATAAAGAGATGTCTATTTAATTGTTTGTTTCTTTCAATTATAAAAACAAAACAATCTATGTACAATATTTAAAAAAAGTAAATCCTATACTGATTTAAAAGGGCGCAGAGTGAAGAAAAACTCTTATCATATTTGTCCCTTATTTTAAAAATCAACTTCAACAAACAAACAAACAAGCTCAAGCTGGAAAGATCTCAAAGTTTAAAAAATAAGTAAATAAAACAAACAACAAAAAAAGCATTTTATTGTTTCATCCTAAATAACTAATCTGGCTAATCTAGTCATAAAACAATTTCAGATAACTGGAATGTAAGCGTGGGGAAGCCAAATAAATGTAATATTGGCCTGCCATAAAGTGAGCCTGTTGAACTGATCACTGCTGCTCTCAGAGCAGAACTGTTACATTAGCAAGATGGATTTATGACTGAACGAAAGTCCACATCTTTTTATCATCTCTGTGGGTGACAATACAAAAGAACAAGTTTTTTCTCCGACAACTTTTGTGTGAAAAAAACTACAGTTTATGCAGCGACGTGCAGCGGGAGGGAGGAGGAAATGATCCTGCAACACGACGTAACTTTTCTATAGCGGGAGGGGGAAATGTTGAGGATTTATTCTCTCTATACGTGTTTTAAAACGCTATATTTCTTCAATTATTTTCAGAATATTTTTGAATAAATGGCCCTATAAAAAAAAATTTAAAGAAATTGTTTACCTGCCCGGTCAGGCATCGGGACACACCCACCTGCCTGAATATGAGTTTTACCTGCCCCGGGCACTAGGATTTGTCGAACCCTTTCACAATTAATAGCGATTAATTTTTTTACCAACATCGCACAACCCTAGTCCCCATATTGATTAAATTATTAATGTTTTAATTACATCAAGGCAAAACAAAAATATGAATCCATATTGTCGTCATACACCCAATATCAATATCAAACACAATTACTTACAACTAAATGGTTGTTCGATGGGTATGTTGCTTCGTATCGATCACAGATTTGTGAATTGATCGTATCATGACAGACTTTGTGATATCGAGAAACATTGTATCATCTAAACAAACAGATAGATCTTATTGTGATAAACTTGGTGAATTCCACCCCTATTGGTTAGTGCACACAGAGCTGCCAGTAAAGATTCAGACTTCAATTTATTGTTAAAATAATGAGTGGTTTGGAAAAAACGTCTTAAATCTAGGGGTGCGCCGATAAATCAACCGGACAAGTTAACAGCAGATCATCTTCATTTTGGGAGGTCTGAGATCGGCCAATGCTTATAAAAGATCAGCTTCTCTACCTTCACAAAGGTCTGAAAATCAGCCATTGTCCTCTTTAGCTCTGCTGTGAGCACTACCTAATGTCCAGTTAAAACAAGTTTGTATTAGGTACAGGTATAGGGTATTATTCACTGTTTTTCAGTAAAGTAACATTGGAATATTAAAGTTGTATTGTGACCTTATACCACCTGACAGTGTCAGCTATTTAAAAAATCTACATCGACCAAAATCAGAATCTGCAGGTCGGACTTTTTAAAGATCAGTCAATGTCCAGAAATCTGCAATCAGTGCACCCCTATTAAATCATCTGCTTTGTAATTTTTTCCCCAACTGTTAATGATGCTTTTACTGCACTTTATAATGGACACAAATCCCCCAACTGGACTTGAATGAAAAATAAAATCTAGTTTGACCTTAAATTACAGACTGACCAACTCTGACTGATTTTAGTTTTTTCCGTTAAAAAAATGCCAATCGTCCATTCCTATTGTTAAGGGCATGAGTTATAAGCGTTATTAAATATATTTAAGTTAAGCAGTTATTATATTTGTGTTAAATGAAAAGTATGTGTTGACCAAAATTCTTTTTAAAATTGGTCTTTTTAACCACCCACTGCCATCATTTCTAAAAATTATTTGTTTGTTTTTTAGTAGTATTGCCCTGTTGTGAACGTGAACGACAGAAACTTGTGTGTTTTTAATACAAAATAAATATTATAATTTAATGGTTGGTCAGCATTTCTAGTAAACATACACTGGTAAGTTTGTGTTTTGTTTATGTGGCTGTAGAAGTGAGTTGTGTAAATGTGCTCCTCACTGTGGAATGTGCACAAACACATTGGTGGTTTTCTAACTGAAACCCATCATCACTGTTTTGTCAGGCCTCCCCTCGTTCTTCTGGGGAAGACATGGAGATCTCAGAGGAGGAGGAGGAGGAGGCCACGGCTATAACAACAGTGACGTCTCATCAGCCGTCGGCCACCTCGGGGTCCTCGCCATCCTCCTCTCAAGCTGCATTATCACAGACAGCAGACCCCTCATCCTCTCCACCACCCATTTCTGACTCTTCACAGCACTTTGGCACCTCCATGCACCCCCAAATCCCCTCCTACCCCCCTCATTTACCGCCTCCCCCTCCCCCCGGTTACTCCCTTCAGCCTCCACCTCCTCCAGGGATTCCTCCTCTTCCTCACATGGAGCTGCACCCCGAGTATCCCCCTCCGATGCCCCATCACATGTACGACTACGCCACTTCCATGGAGCTGATGAACCAGTACAGTGGCGGAGCCCCCATGTCTTTTCAAATGCAGACTCACATGCTGAGCCGCTTGCAGCAGCTGCGCATGTCTTCAGCCAACGGCACGCCAGGCCCGGGTGAGGCTGCGACCGCCGATTACGCATCTTATCATCTTCACTCGATGCCTCCACCTCATCACCCTTACATGGACCAAGAAGGCAGTGGTGCTGGTGCCCAGTATGACCAAGACCACAGGTACATGTCCTCCCATATGTCCTATCCCTACCACGATCCCCACAGCAGCCAAATACCACCCCCTCCACACCCCGGCATACCTCCCCCCCACACGGGCTGGCCACCACACGTCTTGCCTCCACACTACCCGTCTTACATGCCCCCGCCCGGCTACGGCACCATGCTGACGGGCGATGGGAACGAGTACACGGCTCCCGGGGAGCAGATGCCCATGTTGGCTGAGAATCCACACGAGGCAACGGTGCAGATGGTCCTGGCTGCTCTGATCCAGGAAATGAAGAACATCATGCAGAGAGACCTGAACCGGAAAATGGTGGAAAATGTAGCCTTTGCCACTTTTGATGAGTGGTGGGAAAGGAAAGAAACCAAGGCCAAGGTGAAGGGTTGCTTCTTTTTTCTTTTAAAAATAATCTTCAAAATGTGTTTACATTAAACAGGGTTCCCACAGGTCCTTGAAATCCTTGAAAGTTTGTGAATTTGAAAAAAAATGACTTCATGGCCCTGGAAAGTTTGTGAAAACAGCCAAAAATTACACTTATCCTTGAAAGTCCTTGAATGTTTTTTGGGAGGTTTCATCTGTAAAAAAAAAAAAAAAAGTAAAAATAATTTAAAAAAACACATTTGTTGCGGTGAATAACTCAAGATTACAGTAAACTGGCTTTCAACAAATAACGTGAGCCATAGTCATAGTTTTACCCAATCAGAGCAGAGTAGGGCGGGTCGTTCTTTCTCTCCTCTTCCCAAACTGAGCTGCTGAACCTCCCAGGACATAATTACATATCCGTGTTTTGTCGATATGAATGTAGGATAAACATTTAATCAACTTTATTTCATTGATTCTTACTCAACAACTTCTATGTTGTTCAGTTTTTCATTGAATTTACATGATATTAAACCTGTTTATTGGTAACATTCTGCAGTAGCAGTAGGTAATTGCCGTTGCAAGTAGTTCTTGAATTTGAGGAAATTGGTACTGGAAAGTCCTTGAAAGGTCCTTGAATTTGATGTTGACCAAGGTGTGGGAACCCTGATTAAAGATAATTATATTTCAGATTTTGTTTTGTAGTTTTCATTAACTTAAAGGCAACTAATGAGGAACTGTTGTTAAAATATTGCTTTGAAAGTTACGGAACAGTACTAGAAACTATAAAAACTCTTATTAAATGGGAACATATTTCTTCTTTTTAGCCTTTCCAGACAATGGTAAGAGGAGTGTCCGCGCTGCGGGATGATGAGAAAAAAGAGGAGAAGGTTAACCGTCCTCGGGAGCCTCTCATGTCTCTGGTGGACTGGGCCAAGAGTGGTGGCGTGGAGGGCTTCTCTCTCCGTGGAGCACTTCGATTACCATCCTTCAAGGTAAGCAAGTCAAAGATCTGTAAGTGCAAAGTAGCTAATATAAAAAGTTATTTTTGACTGATGTGCATTAATTGTTGAGGTTTATTTGTGCAGGTGAAAAGGAAAGAACCTCAGGAGTTGGAGCAGGTAGACATGAAGAGGCCTCGACCATCAACTCCACCAGATGAAGATGATGAAGGTTGGTTTGGTTCGTCATAAAACTTGTAAAATAGGAGTTGAGTTATTAACCCCACTTACCTCTTTGAAAACTCTTACCTGTTTGTTTTTATACATTTTTGTTTGTTTTTATGTCCTTGTTAAGCACTTTGGGTTTCATTGTGTCTGAAAAATCTAAGTAAGGTTGAAATGTCTGGTTCCAGCTGCAGATGGTAGGATAGCAGAAGCAGACCGGCGTGCAGCTGAACGCAACAAGAGGAGGAAAAAGAAACCGAGGAGTCGGAAACCTTGGGAGCTTGACAGCGGGGGAGAGGAAACCTCCGACGGTTCCTCCACTGAAAAGGTGCATAACTTCTGTCATTTCAGTTATATTTAGTTTTTTTTAACAAACAACTACAAATGTTTCAAATTAGGTTGGTGCATTTTGAACTGATTTACATTTTATTTAGGTGTCCACATTAATCATGAGGGTAAAAATTTTTTAAATAAATATGTAAAATCAACTGTTTTAACATTCTGAAAAATAAATAAGGAATTTTAATCTTTATTAAGTTAATAAAATCTGCTTTTTGTCTCTTAGAAGTTGTGTATTAATAACATTGTTATAGTTTTTAGCTAGATGGCAGCATTTCACTGTTTTTTTTTTTTTAATGGAAACTACAACATTTTATTTTGTAGGAGGACGAGCAAGAAGAGAGTGAGAAGGAGTCTGATGGTAAAAGAATGACCCCCCCCCCCCCTCCCGGCATATTTCTGTTTACTGTAAAGACATTATTCAAATCATGCATTTGTGTGTTTTTCTAGATGAAGGCCTCAGTAGTGACAGTGACGATGAGAGCCTTTCTTCATCCTCCGAAGGCTCTTCTTCTTCAGCATCATCGTCATCCTCTTCTGAGGAGGAGGAGGAGGGAGAGCTGGCTGAAAGTGCAGGGCCGGACTCCATGGATGAGTCAACCATGGATAGCACAACTGAGAAAGATGACAGGTAAATGATTGGGAGCTGTTCTGAGCAACACGTTTTTATTGCATTTTACTGTCCTGGCTTTCATCTGGGCTCAAACTTTGTTTATTTTAGGGGAAGTGCTGCCGTTTCGAAGGTGGACATCAGAAAAGGTTTGAAGGCCTTACCTGCATCATGAATTAAAATCTGTCTGCAAAATGCAAATAAGATATAAAGCATCAAAGAATGTTTACTGTTTTAAATCCACCGTYTTCTCACACAACTTTTGAAACCAACAGAAAATGTTTACTTTCTGTCGTTCTTATTCAGGTGTCACGAAGGACATTAAGACGGAAACGCCAGCAGCACCACCCAAGCACCTTCCATCTCCACCGTGCCCACGCCCCTCATCCCCTAACGTCTTTGTGCCCCCCCTCAAGAAACGCAGGAAGACCGTTTCGTTCTCCACAGACGAGAACGAAGGCAAACCTCAGCTGCCAGCGGCTCCACTGTCGCCTCCTTCATYACAAGCTGTGAGCGAGCCCCCCCTCCCCTCCGCCAAGCCCCCAGACTCAGCCGCCGCAGCACCACCACCCTCCAATCGTCCCAGTCAAGGAATTCAGCTTCTCCCCTTCGCCTCAAAGCCGGGAGAGGGCAACGCCCTCATCGTCCCCCCACCTGGAAGACTTCCCGTTTTCGAGGAGGTTAAAAAGGGACCTCCTGTTTACTCGCAGACCACTCCCGTTAAATCCCCTGGAAAACGGGGAGCGGGTAAGGAGTCTCCTAAATCCCCCGTCCCGCCCATCAGGGTTTGCCGCACTGTGCAGAACCTGCCCCTGGACCACGCTTCGATGTGCAGGATGGCCTTTGAGGAGGTCCCCCCACCAGCGCCGGTCAACAAACGGTCCAGAGGCAGACCTCGGACGTCGAGCCTTTCTGCCTCCTCGTGCCACTCCCTCAGGGAGGACGACGAGGACGAGACAGAGAGCGAGCAGAGGCTGAGACTCAGAGAGCAGCTGGGAGCCTCCAGCCTCCTGCAGCTGGCCTCTGCGTCAGCTGACCTGTCYGTGCTGGCTGACATAGCCTTGAACATGGACCCTGATGCTGCCGACTCGGAGGAGACAGAAACCTCCGACGAGGCGGAGGAGCAGAAGATGGAAGGAGATCTCTTCTCCCGAGAATCACTGGCTTTGGTAATGAGTCCAGGAGGTGTTATTGTCCTGTTGGAGCACAACTACTGCAAACCTCCTGTGCTCGTGGTCCCATCCGGTACCAAAAAGACTTCCTCCAGACAAGATTCTTCCATCTTGCTCTCAACAGACCTCAACTCTATTTCTGGGGTGCTGGAGGCTCCAGAGGAGGTCATCGGAGAAGCAGTAGCGTCCAGGTTAGATGCTGGAGAGTACCTGCCGGCGGTGGGAGAGCTGTGTGATTCTGACGAGCTGAGCCAGGTGGCAGCCGTAGCGCCATCATTAAAGAAGCAGCATCACGCTGGAAAAGCTTTCGAACTCGAGCACAACAAGGGCGAAAAGAGGAAAAGAAAAGACAAAGAAAACCTCGAGCCTCATCATACAAAAAAGCAGAAAGAACAACGAGGCAAGAAGCAGAGGAAGCAGAAACTGGAGGTGGGTGGTTTCCTGTAGATGCAGATGAGTGTGTTAACATAAATATGTCTTTCCTGTAGATGCCTCCTGTTTACTCTTTTTTTTTTTTAGTCTATTGTTAGTTTTTCGTAGCAGTGACACCACAAGTGACACTTCTGGTAAAGTTTTTAAAGTTTTAAATAGTTCTTCCTCAGGAAATACAATTATACAAACAATTTTAAAAAGATGGTTTGGGTTATATATTTAGGGTTTTATCTGGTAAATGTTTTTAGTGACAGATGTAAGCTTTAGCAGTTCTCTACAGCAATATTACATCTTAAAAACTTAATTTATAATAAACTTTATTTCTTGTTGTCTGAGTTCAGCCAGATGTTTTGCTTCAGAACTTCCTAGAAAGAG